ACAAGTTCAGTATTGTGTTTTAAGATGGGACATGTAGCTGTGACAATAAGAAGAGCCGCTGAACCCACAGCTGAAACCAACGTAAACATGGCAGTGCAGAAGGAAGTGCACATAGCCGTTGCTAACACATCTGCTTTCCAGAATCCAAAATTGAATCTTTGAAAGCACATTACGAAACAACAAGTAAGGCATGGTATCTGCTGACATTAATTTATCAACATGTTTTGCAAAAACTACGCTTTTGTAGATTGGCATTAGTGTCAGGATTTGGTTGAGGTTTGGGGACCCAAATGCAGAGGCAGAGGTGAGTTTTTTTGTAGATTTAATTAGAGGTAAACAAACGACTGAGGCAGGAATACAAAAATCCAAAAGAATCCAACTCTAAAAAAGTTTAACAAACCAGAAACCATGGAGGCATCAGGGGAAAACAATCATGACAAGGTAAGACACTGTAAGACAGTGTAGGTCGAAGTTAGACGAGGAACCAGCACTAAGGAACTGTATAAGGAGTGTATTTATGGGAGACTGAACAAAGAGAGGGCTAACGAGCAGTCTGGGAACAGGTGTGAACAGAGCAGACAGGAAAGGAGCTAGGGAAAAAGGAGAACACAAGAGGGCAGCAGAGGGCAACAAATAAAAACCTGAAAACTGAAAAATAACCAGAGAACACAACAAAATAAGAATTAAACCACTAAAACTAGAAAACATGGAGCAAAGTAAAACTGAATACTCAAAAGAAAACATAACAGAACCAAGACCGGAGGATTATGCTAAATACTCCACCTTTCCCTAAACAAAACCCAACTACTACACATTATTAATCTAGCTTTCCAGGTTATATTCCATCATTATCATCCTGCTAAATTTATGCAATGTACTTGCCCCTCTCACAGCAAAAAAAAAAAAAAAAAAGCATGTTGCTGCCATCACTCAGCTTAATAGCTGGTGCAACACTTGTAGGTTCAAAAGCCTTCCTTTGGCTGAAAAACTAAACTGGTTTTACCATAAGACTTGATAGTGTGTTTTTTTGTAGAGCAGCTTACTTGAAAGTATAAAAAATAACAATACTGCAGACATTTAGTTCATACAGTCATCCTAGACATCAACAACAATAATAATTATTTAAATTTTTTTTTCATAAAGCCCTTTAAATCAGATCTCAAAGTCCAACAAAGAAACAATTAAAACAGATAAAAGCAGACATAAAGTGAAATGACAATAACACAAAATAAAATCATCTAAAATATAACTGATAGGCTTTAGTGNCTAGTAAGATCCAGATGTAAATCTGTTGGAAATGTTCAATTTGCACCACATTCTAGTGGACAGTTATGATAAAAAGATAAACCTCCTATTTGCTTTTTATAAGTAAAACAAAGTGACCTTAAAAGCTTGATGCTGGGTAATGCCGGGGCGATCCAGGATCTGTAAATTCTCTGGTGCCTTCCTACCTTCCTGCTAGGTTACTGACTCAGCTCTAGACGCTTCACTACAGCCCAAATGCCCTGCGGTGCCCTTGTTTTTGTCAGCATGCTCTGCTGCATCCAGAGGCTTTGGGATGCTTTGCATTTGCTTTGTTCAGGAAAAGAGAGTCACTGCTTCAGAACAATGTGAGCAGCCTGGATCAATTTTTGAATCGCTGATGAAAAATCCAGCTCACACAAAGCAAACCATGTGCCTTGCTTCATTGTTCTAGTTCTGTATAAAGAGAATAACGGATGTAGCAGGTGGAATATTTTATTTAACATCAAGCTGATTGATATGAACAATGGAAAAGGTAAAGCATGATAATCTAATAAATGCATGGATGTTAGAGTCACAAGCCTAATCCAATGCCTCTGTTATAGATTATCTTCTACGAGGACAGAAACTTCCAGGGTCGATATCATGAGAGCAGCAATGACTTCAGCGATCTGCACACATACGTCAGCCGCTGCAACTCCATCAAAGTCCTGGGAGGATTCTGGGTGGTGTATGAGAAACCAAACTTCATGGGCCACCAGTATGTGCTGAGCCCAGGGGAGTATCCGGAACACCAGTACTGGCTGGGCATCAACGATGCAGTCAGGTCTTGTCGAGTGCTTAGGCATGTAAGTTCCCCAAGCCCATCAGTGCCCAAGCTACTATCCTACAACTCTTAAATGCATTCATTCTCTAACACACTATGTCTTGAAGAAAGGATGTTTTTAAAAGTTGCAGGATGGTAACTGGAATTAAACATCTCAGGCATCTGACTTTGAATTCCACTTTTCCTGCATTCTACAGAGTGTTTTTTTTTTTCTTCTTTATCCTGCCAAGGTGGGGAATGAATGGAGGATGAAGATTTGGGAGAAGCCAAACTTCGAGGGCGAGTCTGTGGAGCTCTCAGACAACATGCCCACCTTTAGTGAGCGATGGCAGAGCCGCGATGTTCAGTCATGCAAAGTGTTTGAGGGGGCTTGGATTTTCTATGAGCAGCCCCACTACAGGGGGCGCCAGTACCTACTGGAGAAGGGAGAATACAGACGGTACTCTGAGTGGGGGGGCAGGCAGCCCAATGTGGGCTCTGTGCGGCGGGTGAAGAGCTAAAATGATGGGAATCTTGGGAATAAAGAAATAATGAAAATTCTATTTTTGTTTTGTCATTTATTCACACTGTTATCAACAATCCTTAGTTTTATTATAAAGAAAATATCATCCAATCAGAATGGGTTATTTCTAAACAATATAGAGAAAATGAATTCTTAAACTTCCAGTTTAAGCCTTTATTGTCTTTAGAAGTCTTCAAATGTCTCTGCTATTAAAAAGAAAAACAAAAGAACTCTTCCTTTTTCTCTTTTTTCTTTTTACCTTTTTACACTTTTATATTTCAAATAAGATAAACAAAGTAAACCTCTCCATATATACCAAAAACACATTTTAAATTATGTTTAATCTATCAAAGGAAAGGGCTGTCAAATTGAACCTGGCCATACCTATGTGCTCCCCAACAGCTGCCATCAAAAGTTTAAATCTTTGGCCTTAGCGTGAGGAAATTCCACAGTGATTTATTCAAAATTGTCTTACTTTAGGCAAACAGGACCTTTATACAGTCATTCCTCTATTTAATACCAGATGTTGAGTTCTCTTAGTTTAGTTGAATTAATCTGTTTATTTTTAGTAAATCAGAGGGGAACTCGGTAGATATTTTCAGAACTACTGGCTCCATAAAACAC